CTAATAGTTGTGTGTATGTCAGAGTTAATATTAGTTTACACATTACATATTTTGTTCAGACATATGAATATGTCCTTGTACAACAAATTATAATTTACTATAGTGCTCTATCTATTCTAACATTGTAACATGCAATTATATATATATATATATATATATATATATATATATATATATATATATATATTGAAATGAGAATACAACTTTAACGATATTAATAATAATGTGACAATAATATATTAATTTTGAAACATAATAATATACTTATCATTATATAGTAATTTAGATGTTTTTTTATTAAAACAATCCGTTATAATGCTATTATTTTAATGTACTTAAACATCTTCTATTTAAAATTTAATTGTTCATTAACTTGTGGTAAAATGTATATAAAGTACAATATTATTAGTAAAATCCAAATTCACTAGTTTTAACTATTATTAAAATTATGGAATAAAATATTTTTATGGTCACAATGGTAATGTAAGCGAATTATGTTTTAATTGATAACATTGTTTTATATTAGATTTGTTATATAGAACAGAAAATTAAATCTAGAAATTCAAGAGGTTGGACACAATATTTAAAGAAATAAAATGCTAAAAGCAAAATGTTTAAATTATGGTTCGCTTTAGTTAAATAATAAACTATTAAAAACATTTATGATATATTGGATAAGACAACATTAACTATACGTATATTATAGAATACAAATAAAACATTTTGGATTACAGTAAAAATCTATAAAGATTATAAGAAGTATTGGGACCACTACTTCGATCTCTTTATCAATCTTTCTTTTATCCTCTTTCTCTCTCTCTCTCTCTCTCTCTCTCTCTACTTCTCAATCTAGCTTACATCCCCACTCCTACTCTAACATTGACACTCTTTTATTGTCTCTCTCTGTCTCCTTTTTCTGCTCCCTTGCGCCTTTTCTCTTTTAAATATTCAAATATGCATGTAAATAAACTATTCACTCATTATTTCAATCGATGTATCTCCGTGTACAGAGTACAGGATAAAGTATAACGCGTCTCACTGTGATAACCCTGAGTTTAAACAACTGTATTTGTAAAAATTTAGCAAACGTCTGCTCTTAAAGAGTTTTTCGCTCAAGCTTGTCTCATAAAAAAATTTGATATTGGCCAAAATGGAAACACTCAACATAATAAAATGTGTATTAAATAATAAATATTATGCTATTACCAAATTACTTATATATATTTTTCTTTTTATAATAGTCGTGCGGTTTATAATATTCTTAAAAAAAATCAAATAATAAAAAAGGCAAATTTTATTCGTGTGAATAAAGTGAAAAATTATACATTAAAAAAAAAACTGAAAAAATCATGGTTTTCTTCTATAAAGGAAACTGGGCTTATAAAATACTAAATAAATATTGTTTGCGCAAATCATGGAAAGTATTTAGCTATTTGTAAACAACAATACGTATCCATATTATAAGCTTCTGTACTAATAGAATAAATCACTAATCTCTAAATAATATAAATAGTATATTATTCCGACTGTGATTATGCATAAACATCTTATTTACTTAATGTATTTTAATGGATTTTCAAAATGTAATAGAATATGTTAGAGCTATGAAAATTAGAAATATAGACGAAGTATCATATAACATAAATTCTAGATATTTTTCTTTATTTAAAATTGGGATATTATAAATTTATTTTATGATATCTAGTTGATAATTTATTGTTTACTATATTTTGTATGAACGTAAAAATTACCCTTTGAATATAAAATAAAAATTCTTGTTTACCATGTTTATCAAAAGAGACGCTCACGTAGACGTGCTCAAGCTCATGTTTCTGCTCTTCCATTTCCTTATTATCATTTTAGAAATCTTATGTATATATAAACGCATATGCTTTATTATTGCGAAAGAAGATAAATTCATTTTTAATATTAAGCATTTCAGCGATATTTAAATCTTTCTACTTTTACACAGTTTATTTTCATAAAGTTCGTGCTTAATCTAACGCTTCTATTAAAAGATTTTTGTAATCAAAATATTATTATTAATTTTCGTTAGAAATATTTATTCCGTTATTTACAATTTTTAGTATATTTTCATGATTTATAATAATTATGTAATTAAATTCCAATGATAATTCATTATTCCTATGATAATATATTAATATAATGCTTTAATATAATCATAGATATAATATGTAAAATTAATGGTAATGTAATATTATTTTCACTAGTGGAATAAATAATTTAGAACGATCTTATTATATAATGATCCTTTAATAAATAAAATTCATCTTAATTATGATTGTGACAATATCCATTTACTTTACATAATCTGTTCATTTATTTTTGCTTTCGCGTATCTTTTGCTTTCTTTAATTTTGATAAATATACATACGCATGTCAGGTACATACACACGCATACATATATGCGTGTTCATATGGATGATATGTACCCACATACAGATGCGTGTATGCATGTACGTGTGTGTATGTATTACTAAATTGTTGCTAATATGTGATTTTAAAAGCTTTCAAGGAATAATAATAATTATCTTAAAAAACTTTATTGATGAAATATTAAGCTTCAAACTATAAATCTTGTTAAAAATATCGAAGATGTAAGAGGGATCGGAAGATTAAAAACCACTAAAACAATCCCATTACCATCGATAATATTCTATTAATTTTAAATACTTCATAGAATTAAGAATTTGATATGATTACAAATAAAGAAAATATAATATTAATATACGCCGTTATTATACAAAGTTCAGTCATTTGAAATAAGCAAAAAAAGAATTATAATATAAAATGATAAATTGATTTCTTGTAACAAGAATTAACACAATGCGTAATCAAGAATCTTCAGCTAAAAGGAATAAGTATATGTGCATATGTGAGTGAACAAATCATATTTTATTTATACAACAATAAATGTATTAGTGGTAAAGAGTCAGATGATGCAATGTGTAATCGATGCTACGATTCGATTATACGTGATCATTATATTATTTACAAAATTTAATCTCCATATTCTTGATATAAAGAAACTTTGCAATTACGTTAAAATTCAATACTATAAGTCATAAAGATTCTATTCATTTCCCCATTAGCTACGTAATTCAAATAATATATTATAATAAACAAAATAACAATAACAATAATAATAATAACAACGAGATTCAGAGTTAACGAAAAATAACTTAACGAAAAATGAGAATGCACGTAGATCGTAATAATGACCAACGCACGTAATTTTTACGAATAAATTAACGAATATAAATTTCATAAAGGCATAATCTCGATTATGCTGAAGCATTAATGTCACAGATAGCGAATGTTTTCAGCGCTGTAAACACACTCTACTTTTCATCGCTACTGATTAATCTAGACTATGTATTTTATAAAATGTAATCGGCACAATAATGAATTTTCATCCATCGAAGCGCTATGATCACGCTATATGTCTATTTAATTGCAGAGTGAGAATTTCCGCTTAAAATGCCTCGCTCATCATTGGTAAACGCGCCACTACTCGCCGCCTGCGATCGCTCGGTCTAATCGAGCCACCCAGTGTATGACGACAGCTTCGCCCGTATTAGACAATAGCAGAGTTACGTACGGCAGCCAGACTGATAAGAGTTATGGGTACCGCAACTCAGATTAGATTCCGCAGCATGTGTCGGCTAAAAACGTGTATCGACTCCCCGCGGAGCCGTCGTCGGGGTGCGAGAAGCTGCCGTTTATCGGAGAAAGGGACCGAGAGAGCGAGAGGCCACGGCGATATCAAGCATGAAGTTATAAATCGTCGGGACTCCCCGAGGCTCCGGTCAGTGCGTACCAACCGACAGTCGTGCAGCGTCCACGACGACGTTCACACTTCCCACCGTTTCTCATACACGGGTGCTTTGTTCCGGCGAAGTAAGCAGTGCTCGAGTGCGCGAGATTTTCGATTTGCCGAGCCCGAGATCGAGCCTGTATGAGGCTCGTGGAACCAGCTCGAGGGGAAGCTCGCAGCGAGCCCGAGAGGCTCGCCGATAAGAGGCAGTGCGTCGACCGGGAGAGAAGGCGGCTACTACGGGAGTTGCTCTTCGACGTGGGCTGCGACGGTATGGAGAAAACTCATCCGTCGATCACTCAGCAACAAAGACATTTTGTTCTTAACTCGTCGTTACGTGCGGATGATAATTATTTTTTATTCGCACGGTGTCTGAGAATGCGGCTGCGAGGATGCGCCTCGTCTCTTGTCTAAACCCAAACCCTATCCCCTTCCCGCCCCATTCAACGTCCGCTTCTCAACGCCCCTCGCGCCACCTCACACACCCCACCCAGCAATCCAGCCGCACGATAAAAAATATTCGCTTTTGTAAAATATCGCGAGAGATAAACGACGTGCCGATTTGACGACGTTGTTCAGGGATGGCGAAACAGTTTTTAAAAATCAGCGCACGAAGATGCTTCGACATTTGTTAATAATAATGATAATAATTGCGGATTTATGGTTTAAGAAAACATAATGATTGATGTGGCGATCGGGCGTGGTTCAGAACCCCTTTCATCGTACAGAGTTATAAAAGAAGCTCGTACACTTGGACAAATCATCGAACGATTTACTTCGTTTATGCAAAATTCATGCTAGATAATCGTCGATCCTTATGCGTGAAAACTGGGCTAATATTTGATACAATGAAAAATGCTTTTCGATACGAGAAAATAATAATTACTCAATAATTAATAAAAGAAACTCGAGACGCAATTCAATTCGTTGATAATTCATAATCCATAAATCCAGTATTATATTGTTGGTATAAAAAGTTGAATCATTGTTAACTGGTAAAGAAGAAACCTTTCGCTCTTTCGAGCAGAATATTTAGTTTATTAATGATAAATTAATTTAACGTTAATTATAGTTCATGTTAATATTATTATTTATTTTAAAAAAAAAATTTCCATTTATCATTTATTTATTTATTTTATTTTTGTTTATTTATTTTGTATAGAATGCAATAAGATGGCCGCGATTCCACAGGGAGCATTTGCAGCGATCCAAGTCCGTAAAAATTTTAAACGCTTGTCCAATACGAAATACGGAGAGGAGGATGAGGATAAGACGAAGGGCGAGAAGAATTATGAATTCAACTCTCAAGTTCTCCAAGAAGGTAAATATATGTAGTCTGGAAATGTATCGTATTATTGTTTATTAATCCAATATGTATTTACATACGTATTTGGGCGTAAAAATGAGTGACTTTGACGTGCGATAAAAGATGTCGGTGTGCGTAGCCTCGTAACGAAAGCGAACAAAAAAAAAAAAAAATAGATATTTCAGAAATGTTAATCCGGGACAAAAAGCTACGGCAATGCTCATTAACATCCACTTATACGCGATAAATTATCATCTATTCCACTAACAAGCCCTGCTTTACTTAACTAAAATGAGTCCATCAAACATATTTACGCGACACTTTAAAATGTTAATTAAGGTATACATAACGAATTTTTATATACGCTTCGTTTACTTGGGTTAGAAATTTATCTTAGTAAATTTATAAATAATTTCATTAAATTATTTAATACTATTCCAAACTTTATATTACATCCGTTCATTATTACAAATAATAAATTATGAAATAATAATAATAATAATAATAATAAATAATAAATAATAAATAATAAATAATAAATAATAATAATAACAACAACAACAACAACAACAATAACAACAACAACAATAATAAGGCAAAAGTATTTTATATTGGTATATGAATATTAATATATGTAATTTTATTATAAGTAAGTAAGTTTATTATAATGACGGTTCACATAAACAATGAAAAAGTTCAATTTTATTTATATAACATACCAATTGGGTGGTTTCTTTATTATTAAATAAATTATAAAAATAGTTAACATAAAATTCGAATTTATTCTATATAAATTTATCTTCATTTTAGTTAAAGTAATCATTTATCATTTTTATATAAATCCAATTACAATGCTTTTTGATGTTAACTCTCGGCAAAGTTGGTGCTTTTAAGTTTCATGAAATATTTACAATAAACCTATTAACTTGCACATTTATCAAGAAATATTAGCTCCAATAAAATATAAAATATTACGCATCTTTTAAAAATAATTAATAAATAATCATTAATGCCATGATGAGTTTAAAATAATTTAATTTTCGACGACTAATTGGCAAATTATTCATTACTCGTGAATAATCCAAGAATCAATTTCAATATCAAGAATATCCTTAATTAACAATATATATGTAAATTTCTTTAAAAATAACTACATCTACTTCTATTATTAAAGATAATAAATTATTAGATTATTGAAGTTAATTTTTTATTGAATTAATGAGAAATTATTTGGCTTTCATTAGTCTATAGAACTTATTTGGCATGACGAGAAATATTGCAATATGAAGTCAACGTCTGTGAAAATTGAGTAGAAAATTTTAACAATCAATAATAATATTCAATAATATTATTTACAATCTTACCAACATCATTATATTTAGTATGCTATTGATCAAGTAATTTAATAACAAAATTTATAAATTTATTAAACGTATGAGTATAAACTAAAGAAATTTACAAATTCTATTATATTAAAATAGAATATATACTTTGATGAAATTGTAAAGATTGAAAGATATAATTCTTTGCCAATACCGATGTGATTTCTTTCATAAATTGCTAATTCTTAAGTGGAATATCACGATCCAATAAAGTCGAAAACTTTAAAGAATTCGGAACTTAACAATGTTTAATAATCAAAGTTTGTTAAGAGTTTAATGTAAGAATGCCATTGTTAAAATCAACGTGTACCACATTATCTACATTTTTATACGGAAGAAGCAAGACACATGCTTTATCAAAATCGTTTAAAGCCATTTAATTTCTATTGCTTACAAGAAATTAAAATTATTTTGTATCTCCGATGGCTAAATCATCAGCATCAAGATCGAGCAATACGTTCGATTAAAACCTCCTATATCTTGAAAATGCAAAAGACCATTGTCCAAATGTTCTTTCTTCGAGAAAACTAAAGTAAAAAATTCGGCAAATTTTAAGGCTTCTATAAGAATAAAATGTTTATTAAAATTGCCTTGCCTCCGCAATTTCCACCACATGATTGATTACAAACGATAATGTCACAACTGCGCTACTACGGCTCCTTACATCAACACGTATCTTGCTTCTTCCTTATAAAAACTGCATAAACAAATAAATAAAACAAATAGAGAGAGAGAGAGAGAGAGACAGAGAGAGAGAGAGAGAGAGAGAGAGATAAAAGGAGAGAAGAGAGTGAAAACGCGAAATGTGAAGTAAAAAAAAAAAAAAAACAAAAAAGAAAAAATGTCGTCTCCGAAAGACGAAGCGGCGGACGAAAGTAAGGACTCTCACGAGGGAAAAACTATTGCACTCTGCAGGAAGAGAGCCGACACCGCTAAAATACAATAGCAAGCTGATGAACAGCATCTGGGGCCTGTACAATCGTTACTCGGTGCACAACTTCAAGAAGATCGACGCCAATGAGCCGAGCCTGCTGGCCGGGACCTGGGGGGCCGTTGTCGGGGAGGGCCCCGGGATCGGCGGCCGCTGATTCGGGCCAGTTGCCCGAGGGACGGGGGCCCAGGACGGAGCCGCGACTTATCTGCGACTTGTGGCGCGTCCGAGTCGTAACGCGCGATAATTTACATGGATGCTGGATGAGTTATTGTAGTCTATTAATACATTAGAGTGACGCGATACAGTACGAGTGTATCTTGTCTTGTTATTCCTTGCCCTCGCTTATAGCTAAAAAGGAGAATTCTTTGTATCACATCACGTCAGCAGAATAAATGTTTCATTATTACTTTATTTATTTGTATTACTTGCTGTGAGTCATTAGTAACGTAAATTTTGTACTCTTTCACGATAAGAATTGCATTTTAATGTTTACACTTTTACCAAGGAGAGCTGCATTTGAAATATTTAATCGTCTTAAATAAATGAAGCTTATTTTACAACTCAAAGCAATCTTCTTATTTATATACATTTTCGAACTCTTCGATCACTCGCACATCAAAATAAATTCATTTTTTTTTAATTCATATTATTTAAAAGTCACATGACATTATAATGCCTCTAAGGCTCTATACCGATGTCTCTTATAAATTCATAATCACACGTTATGTGGTGTGCGAATACCGGCAATTGAGATAGGCACTTTCTGTATTTAATTACCAATCTCCCTGCTTTATAGAGACCGACGGAGAAAAATATTCCTCAAAGTGCATTTCGTTTACAATAACATTATGTCTTAATTGAGGCCAGATATCGTTATCATTTTTATTCGATGAAAAGAGGAGCGTCGAATCTTTAACAAAAAGCCATATTTTATACCATGTATAAAGGATCTTTATGAATGATTTATTTGAAAATTAAGTCTAAGAATTATTATTATCGTTACAAAAAAAAAAAAAAAAAAAAAAAAAAAAAAAAAAAAAAAAACAACTATGTACAGTAATAGCATAAAATGCTACTATTAGCATAAAATGCTAATTTACAGCATAAAATTAACAATAATTTATCGTTATATGAAAATTTATTGCCCAAGGTCTATTTATTTTAAAATTTACCTCACTCATTAATACATCGATAATACATCATCATAACATTACGATTTAAAAATTACAATATTAAGTTCTATTTTTGCGGCTTCTGTATTCTGGCATATTTATAATCTACTTATATTTATAATAATATTGAAAATAAACTTTATAACTAATATAATATCTAATTTAATTTATATTTAACAAGAGGCTAATATAAATAGTTGTAAAGTAATTGCTGTCGATAAAGATATCACAATTTATCAATTAAAAATATATTTGTATATTATAGCATTATAATCTTAAAGTGCAATGAGTTCATTTGATTATGTAGAACTAGAAGATCAAACTTCGACCTTAGAATTAAGCGAGTTTCATCTTCTGAAATTCTAAAAAACAACTGATTAAGATTTGTTTTTCACCATTATATTTCCTGCTACAATTTTTGTTATAATAATTTTAATAATAATGGATCGTCGATAAGATTTAATTATTCTTTTACGAATAAATAAGAATATTCAAGTTACGTTAAAAAGAATATTTATATTATTAGAATATCTTACGATTTTAAACACTTTTATAAAACCATGATATAAGTTTTTTTAAACAATTGAAGAAATAAATTTCATTATTCGCGCAAACAAATCTTTGCGAGCTCTAGAATATTAAATATCAGCATAATATCAAATTTATCGAATCATAATATAAAAAATTTTAAAAAATTTATCTCAATTACAATATACTTTGTAAATTTTTTTTTTTTTTTTTTTTTAATTATGTTAAAAAATTCTTCCTATGTATCTCATGAATATTATCTTAGTATTATAATTATTAGTTCACCATGCATTCTCAAGATTCTGAATAGGTAGTTCAGTCTGTAGGTGAGAAGCATTTATAAATAGAACTATAAGCCGATAAGCATAATTAATGGCGCCGATTAATTATAAATAATAAATCGGAATTTCATAAATAAGAATTATAAAATCTAATGTATTTAATTAATTATAACACATATAGGAAATACTGTTTTAAATACTAAAATTTTCATTTAGTTTATTATAGTTTATTGATAGACAGTTTTCGCCCAGTCCTAAGCATTTCTTTATTGATAAAAGGGCAATTTTTTTACTAAAACACTGTATGAAAAATATCTTCTTTAAAATTATAATTGAGGATATAATATGTATAGTTAAATTATTAATAGAAGTTTAAGTGACGTTAACAAACAGAAAGAAAAATACGTTTCTAGTAAAAACACAGTTTGCGATGAAATCAATTCTTTTTCTAATACATTTCGAAACTTTCTATTGTACAATGAAATACAATGGAAAGTCAAGAATGCAAATTTTTTTTATTATAAATTTTACAATATTTTATTGATTAAAAATTAGTAATGTTCAAAAACAAAATTCCAATATAAATTTATCCTTTGCTTTTAATAAATGTTAAATTATACTGTGATATATATATATATATATATATATATATATATTATAATTATATCATAATATTAGTATATATCATACTATAAGTCAAAGTATTATAAATTTAGTAATATCAAAATTAAATTCCGTCTTTTTAGAATAAAATGAAAAAACTTTGTAACGTTATTTTAATAACAACAGTAAGCAGAATAGAAGAAAAAAATTCAAATATGCTTATTTGCATTTAGTTTAAAAACATTCAAAATGATTTAACGATTTATATAGTGAACTAAAACTATTTTAAAGAGTTCGAGTTTCAAAAATATAAATATAAAGGTCACTTTGTATTTTTAAAACAATGTAGCCATTATATTGATATCGGTACATTCAACATTCATTTCTTATTATTTATTTCTTAAGTAAGAAACAATTGTAAAATTTTTCCCCGTCAAATCAACAATATATATTAAGTAAACACACACACAATAATTATTTCCATTTAGAAAAATAGAAATTTTTTTACCATATATAATATATATTGTATTGTGAATACTGATTTAAGTAAGATATAATGATAATTAATTCTGCAATAGACATATTGATTAATCGTAATTATCAAGTCTTTGCAAAATAATTATTTTAATTATATTTATTTTGTAAATCCTCGTCCGAATGTCCCTGGTCACTACTCAAACTATTTCGTCGTCCCTGGAAAATGTTTTGCTTAATTCTAAAGTGGGCATTGAAAGTATTTTGTGCTAATGTCTTTTGAAGCAAGCGATTGTTCCAATTTTAATGACTGATGGTAATTTCAATTAGAATTATATCTAACTATTCTCGAGTATAGATTTTTTCTAGGCCACCATTTTAAGCAATTGTTTATTATCCGTTATATAAGTATAATAACAATCTGACAATGTGAAGTATGTCCCTATTAGAAAGTGAATGTACATAAATTATTGTTTATATGTTGGATTGGTGGATAATAGGGTACATTAATTTATTTAAATGAATCATATTTATTTAATGTTATTAATGGATTTTAATAATTTATATATTTATATAAATATATCATGAAATATTATAGTCGGCTTTACAAAGTATCTCGACCATATATGCGATATAAAAGTAAAAGTTTTCATAGGGAGCAAGAACGACGATATTGATATTTAAACATTGAAATTGTTGTATTGGATTTTTTATTCGTTCAGCCCATAACAAAGAAATAAATAAAATTCTAGATCAAAATTTTAAATATTTAGTGTAATTACTTTAATGGATATAATTGCTTTAACACGCTTCATTTGATGTTTAAATACTTTGCAAGTAATTATTTTCAAACTTTTAAAGATAATTATCTTAAGCTAACAGCAGAAGTTTTCGGTTATCAACATTCCATCATTCTTGCAACTTTCAAAATAGTTAATTTTTAAACACTATTGAATATTTTATGTACATTTTTTACCAATATACAAAGGTCAAGTATTTAATAATTTATTTACTAAAATATTAGCCTGTTAGAATATTTTATAAAAGGATCTTCTTAATGTCTTAACCCTATATTCTAGAAACTGTTATAATAATAAATCCTAATGCCTTCTAAAGTCAATGGAAATTTCATTGAAAAGCAACTCGTGTTATGTAATAATGTAAAATATATATATATATATATCGTAATTTATATCAGACATATATTTTATAAAAAAACTATTTGTAGTACCGCTTTTTTGCTTTATTTATTTATTTTTAATTCCATCGCGTCATATACATTTGTTTTATATTCTATTTTTATTTACGTATTATTTTAATCTATTAATTTTCTAATAATAACATTGTTTTTAATTAAACTATGTGTGGGCTCTTTGAAAATTTTATTTATTTTTCTTAAATAATAAGTACATGAAATATTATTGAATAAGCGCATTACGTCTGATAATTTAGTGTTCGAACATTGTATTATGCTTTAGATAAAAATTTTCATTTTCCATTTCCAAAATTCCATTTTCGGAATTTAAATATATTCTTATACGATGACTTGTTAACGAAATATATTATAAATGGATTATTTATATTATATATTATATATTATAAAACCTATATATTTCTTTTAATTTATCGATATTTTGCTTTCATTTATATGTTTAATAATCCACAAGTCTAATTTTATTCTTTTATAATATAGCACTGGAATAAGAGTGTTTATCTGATTTTCATCTAATAATAATAATTTATAAAATAATTCGCATTATAATAATTTATCAATAAGCTAGACAAAAAAATTCCAAATTTCTATTATTTAAAATATTTATAAAATTAACTTTAACAAATAGAACAGATAAAATTTTAGATACACGCATACGTATGTAACATAATTGTATCAATCGAATAATAATCATTATTCAACATAATACACATATATACGATCGAATGACAATAATCTTTAGTCAAATTGAATTAAATTAAATCTTAATTAATTAAGCTTAAACGTTAATAAATTTTTCTTCACAATTGAATGACTTTGTATATATTTTGTAATCATTTTAAGCAACTTCGTACCTCCGTGAATTTAATATCAGACATATAATAATAATGTCCGACGTTTCTTAATAACTAGAAATAAAATATCAGATATACTTATGATTATGCTCGTTGATCAATTTGTCATTATATTATTTATTATTTCACAACAAATGTAAATTTACAAGCACAAAATTGTTACATTATTTAAATCTTATCGCTATGTTATAACAACTGTGATTATATCAAACATATATTCAAATTGGTATAAATAAATTATTATTTTTCATTTTACGTTATAATTAATGATACTAGTATTTGAAAACAGTTGAGCAGTCTTCAAAATATCTTCGCTATCTGACTGAAATATTGATTTTTGAGTAAAACAATTTAATATAAACCGATTTCTATTAAAAAAAAAAAATCTCAAATTAACATCGAATACCCTTGCTTATAATAAACAATTTTAAATAAAATTTAAATATCCTGTTATTGATGTAGTGTTGAAGAATCGTGTTTGCTTTAAAAATTTCAATATAACAGAAAATAGCATAAGCGAATAAGCACAAATGCTGAAATAAAAATGAATGTACTTTGAAGAAAAATGGTAGCAAATTATTTATATCGAGTCAAATAAAATTATTATAGTAAATATGGTAATATATTTTTTTTTTTAATTTGAAAGTGTATTCATACAATAATTTTATTTATATGATATATGATATTAAAATAACATTAAAATAAAATATAAAAAACGATTTATTTTCTAAAATAATATTTAGTCGAATTAATTAATAAATTATTTTTTCATTAAAAAGCATGAATTGAAATACATTTTGATGAAGTATTTAATATATAAGTATTTTGTAGATTATTTGGAGTTAAATGACAATTATTTTAAATTCTATCATTCTTCTAAATTTGGCATTTCTATTTATATTGAATATAATCGTTATATTTATGCTTATATATAAATATATGATTATATATATATATATATATATATATAAGTGTATATAAATATATGTGTGTATATATATCTATAATATATAAATAAAATTTATTTATTGTTTTAGATGATTTACCGTTAACTTTTACGTTCAAATTTGTTGTATCAACATTGTTTAGATACCGTGTAAGATCTGTGTGTAAATTAAAAGAAAAAAAACTTCCAACGACAAATTCATGATTAGAAAATAGTTAATTCTATTTTACATAGCTCTGATATTGTCTTGATTGTCGAACATAGTTGAAACCTTCGATATTCAAAGTTGATAAATATCAAGGAAATGCTTTAAAACACTTTAGTCTTTATAACCAAACGTAAATTATTATTTTTAAAGTTTTCGTTCGTTGTACACTATACACACACACGCGCGCGCGCACACTCGCACGAACATATATATATAATGGCCACTTACGCTTATTGTTAATTGGACATTCAATTGAAATAGAGTTTTAAAAATATATCAGTTGACAAGTATCTTCTTTACGTACAGTACAGAGCAAGTACGTGGAATTGGCAGTAAATAAAATAAAACATAACGTTTATTCCATGAAGTCGGTATATGAATTTATGTTCAAACGGCGTGCGGTGATTGCTTCCATTAGTCTTAGGATGCATCGATAGATCATTTGTATCGCGCATATCTCGGCAAAAATCAAAAACATCGGGTCAGCTATCGTACAGAGATGCAGGGAGGGTGGTAACGAACAAAAAAAAATACAAACGCACGTCTTCCAGCTGCTTATAATTAGTTGATAATTAGAAACATTTGCACGCGGCAGGAAAAAAAAGAGCAAACGTAAAATCTCAGAGGTATCGCGCCGTCATACGTACTAAAGCGCAATATCTTCACAAACTTTCGAATAACGCCTTTCTACATTGTAAGAACTTATCGATTTTTCCGTAAGCATTCCCACCAAGTTTATTACTCATTATATAATTAATGCCAATATCGCCATTAGCCGCACAACAGCTGCAAAACCAATAATACGACGCTTAAATGCATTTGCCTTTAAGCTAATAACAGCCATCCAAGAGCGCATTCGCGTTCCCGTTCGTCCCGTTTGTCCCGTTCGCTCTACTACCCTCCTACCACCGCGGGGAACCTCCCCTACGACGCGTCCCCAACTTCTCGAGGGGTGAATTGTTTCGTGGGATTCGTTGTCGTTGTCGTTGTCGTCGTCGTCGTCGTCGTCGTCGTCGTCGTCGTCGTCAGCGGCGGCCGATAGCGCACTTTCATAATTTTCCGATTGACGCGCGCACGCGAGCCGAGCAGCGTCGGATTTGACGAAAGGGCCGCACACGTCCATGGGAACGGGAAGCGAGTCGCCGAAGCCAGGAGGGAAGTGGTAGGTGAGACGGAAGTCCGGCCTCGCACTGCCTCGTTACCGGTCCTGCTCGTGGGCCCCTTTGAGAAGAGTCGTCGCTTCTCATCGGGTGGCATTCCTCCACCGATGGCTCCGCCGCCCTCAGCACCCGAGGGAGGCTTCGTCGTAGCTGCTGTCAGCCAGCCCCGGCAATATGGACGGCTGCATAACCAGCTTCCCCGATCACATTCTCGAGATGATATTCTCGCACCTGGACCTCTACACCCTTGGGAATTGCCTGCTCGTTTGCAAGAAGTGGCAAAGGTTTCTCAATAATGACGAGAACAACGAGATATGGCGGGTGCATTGCAAAAAGAAGTTAACCGAGGAGACGATCAGTTCGGATCTATTGTCGACGGTGCCGAGTTACAAGGCTAAGCTGAGAGCCCACTTTTACGCCTGGAATCCGAACGATTGCTCCAGGAATATATACACAAAATTTAATGACTTGACACTGCATAGGTTAGATTGGACAGACTCTACTTTTCTATCGTATGAATTCAAACAGATAAGAATTAATGTTGGAAGCATTGAATTAGCGTTCCTATTTTCAGTTTTCTGTGATCTTGTCAGAGAGACCGCAGGATTGTTTGCAAGAGCCTTACTTTCCATAATACTGCCTGTTTATTAAAAAGTGTATGCAAAAATTTAGCGTAAGCAATAACAATGCTGTTTCCTCCATCTACCTCTTCTAAGAGATATTTATTATTAAATTACTCGACAGATTTATTTAAAAGCTTAAAAGTAATGTGGTATTGTAAAGAATTGTAAATTTACAAAAGAATTTTAATTATTGTGTTGATAGTTATGGCTTTGTTTTTAAACCATTGGTAAAGAACGTTTTTAAGAATTCTCGTAAGGTGAATGCTTACTATTTTGTAAGGAGAATTAACATAACAATGTCATTGTATCGCTATGATTTATAAGCTTTATCCTCTATTTTTATTCGACAGAAATCCAATTGCACAGAGTACCGATGCTTGTAGAGGGAAAATTGGATTTCGTCATGGACGACATGCGTGGGAAGTCATATGGGAAGGTCCACTTGGAACTGTTGCGGTTATAGGAATAGCAACTAAAGAAGCCGCTCTAGTTTCTCCGGGTTATGTTGCCTTACTTGGATCGGATGAACATTCATGGGGTTGGAACCTCGTTGATAATAATCTACTGCATAACGGCGACGCTCAAGGAAACTATCCTCTTCCAAATAATGCACCAAAATATCAAGTAAGTATCTGCTTGAATTATTTCAAACGCTGAGATTTAAAATAAATACAACTGATACAATATAGCTAATATTACCTTCGTTTATGTCGTCCTATTGTAAGATTAATTAACCTTTCGCTCCAATAGACTTTGTATTACATAAGTTAAGCAATATATTCTTGTGTATTTATTTTTAGGTAGGAGAAAGAATAAGAGTTATATTAGATTGCGACGATAACACTTTGTCATTTGAAAAGAATTATGAATTTCTGGGTGTAGCATTCAGAGGTATTACTTTTACTTGCTATAAATTATTAATTTATGAATAATTTTTTTACTTTTTTTTTTCTTTTTTTTTTCTTTACGACAATCTTTCATTTTATTGAAATTTATACGAACTTACTCCTTATTATTCATTCATAATGGAAATAAATAATAGAACAGTTTTGCTCTTCAATATACAATACAACTCTAGCTTTTAAATTGTACTTTAATTAAAAATTTGTATACAATACAGTGTATATGTAAATAAATAATATTTACCATAAAATATTTAGGTTTACCGGATAAAAGGCTATATCCGTCAGTGTCTGCAGTCTATGGAAATACTGAAGTATCAATGGTATATTTAGGACCTCCACTGGATGGGTAACATTAGAATTACAACGCAAAGTACCTCAAAAATAATTCCTTTATAGTTCTTAAGTTTAATGAACAATGGGAGTAGTGCATTTGTTTGTGTTTGCGTTTGTGTACGTGCGTGTTCGTGTGTGTTTTAATTTATTTCCATTAATGAATTCTGCGAGGATAAAAAACTAAAAAATAACAAAAATTGTGAAGTTAAGTCAAATGTGAAATGCGTTACATTTCACACTGTATATAGCAAATTAAGAAACTAGAAAAAGAGGCAACGGAGACAGAATAATTAAAAAAAAATAATATATTTATAAATCTTGAAAGAATTCGGTTCTTTGTTGATATTTAAAAAAGTAATTAAAAAATTTACTTAAAAGAAATTATAATGAAATTATCATTGTTCAATTACGTTTAAAGCGTAGATTACTAATAATGCATTATCGTCTTTTTTTTTTTATTTTATTTTTTTTTAATTGAATTTAACCGTATAGATTAAATATCACTACGACGAAGACAATGAAAAATCTATGAATTATCAAGTATTGATTTAAAAAGTTCTTCCTATAATCTAATATGTATTTTGAAAATAATATTTATTGTATTTATTGTAGAAAGACGTTTTGTACATCTTTATAGTACTATTATTTATATATACTGTAGAAACAATGGATGCGAACTTTAGTGATTCAACCTGTACATTATAAATTATATGTAAGATAAATGAAATAGTAGTTTAAAAAAAAAAAAAAAAAAACAAAGGAAAAAAAAAGGAAAAAAAAAAGAAGATTCTCATGAAACCAAAGTAAATTCTATGTACATACATTCTAGCCATTATTTTCAATTCTCTAAATCTATGGATCGTATTGTCCATACTGTATTGTACAGAATTGTAAACATAATTAATATAATAATAATTGAGAAATATATTTTATTTCTTATATACTTCAACAAATTGTATAAAATACGTTAAATCTATTCTACCTAGTTCAGTCTTTAAAATCTTCTTATTTTTCAGCTCGCTACTTTAGAGGTATAAAAACATAGGATTTACAAGATAAAATTATTTTGAAGTGTTCAGCTTATGTAAGCCCGTTTACAAATAAAAAATTTCTCTTCTACCAAGCCATCAAATCGACTATTTCCATGGAATGCTAACAAGTTCCCAATTCTGTTCGTCGTTATATGTGCACGCAGATATTACCGGACTCTCGTTATCGCTCGGAGACTTCTCAAGACACATACCAGACGATATATGCTGCATAACTTTTTCCTACGAAATTTCAAGCACATTCGTCGATCAGTATTCAATCAGTATTACAATGATCAAGACTCATAATAACCAAGTCTCAACTTTATATACCTCCTTATGGTACTTCCACTTTTGGCTCGCGAAGCCACTGCAGGCCATTAATTTCACCTTCGGTTTCTCATGCCTGTTATCTCTTTCCGGAGCATCGAGACACACACTCTCGTCGGTCATTATTACCCCGTCTTTTGTCATAACGAACATCTGGCCAAGATTTGGCGGTAATATGCAGTCTTGATAGGCTACGAAGCCCGAGGGCTGGGAGAACACGCCCTTCGTCATCGGCCTCATCAGACATTTCTTCGATGACGCGTGAACGATCTGCAAAGCCAAAGCTTAGTTTTAACTTGCGTCATTACAGTCGATGTCGATGATGTACCTGGCCGAAAAATCGATCATCTTTTGGAAAGAAGTGATCCGGCCACACGTTATCCAAATACCACTCGAAGCTTTTGCAGCCCAATCGCTCTCGTAAGTCAAGTCTCAATTTAATATGTTGCTTATCTCGGACTCTTTCTGCCTCTAAAATAAATTGGCATCAGTTCGACAAATGGCATTATGATGATAATGTAAATTGATAATTGAAGATTTAATAGTGTATAGATTAATCATGTCATTCAATAGTCTCGATATTTCTTAATATTACTCTACCAAAATCAACGGCAATGTACTGAGTAGGTACATCGGCACTTTCCATTACCGATCGTAATAAACAAATTTAATGCAATAATTTCAAGTAAATTTAAACATTGACGCTGAAGAGACAATGCCGAGACAATAATTTGATTGCATTACGAAGAAAATGTCAGTTACGTGGATTGAATTTGAAGTAGAAGCGGCCCCAGTCATCCATCCAGACGAGAGCGACTCTCGCGAGGTTCCCATAGAGGACCTCGTCGACGCCCCCGGGAAAGGTATAGGGCGAAGACTTGCGAAATATGTGACCGACGTGGGAACACGGTGCTATTTCCACGCTGCCTCCGCACTGCCAGACACGAAACGATAGCTCGAGGTTTTCTCCGCCCCAAATGCGCATGCGCTCGTCGTAGCTCCCGAGCTCGAAGAAGTAACTGCGGTCCATGGAGAAGAGGCCACCGGCCATCGCCGGCGTCTTGAACGGATCGACGACATTCTCACGACGTCCACGTAGCAGTGCCCCGTTTAGCATCAACCATCGGAAATGCAAATCCCAGTTGAATGCACCCCAGTGCAACTCGAACGATCTGATTGCAATTGTCACACGGAAATTAAAATACATTTAACGACGCCTTTTGATGCTCAGTGTTTGTACGTCAAACAGTCATCCGAATATACTAGGCAATGAATGCATTCCCATTGTCGATTATTAAAACATTTTTATCTATTAGTGCGTGTAACTTAATGTCCTATACAGTATAAAATACATGAATAAAGTTTTAAAAATAGTTTTCAATAATCGCTACCAATTACATTATTCGCATAGACATTAATTGTAGATATTAAATTTTTAACGCACAAGCGTATAATCAAATAATCCGAAGAATAAAAATTTCTTGGAATAAAAGATATTTACTCTACAGATTGGACATGACATAAATGACAAGATATATGTGTATATATATGAAACGAGTTTCAATAGTAAAAGGCTAATTGAAAGCTATAATGTACTATAATAAATTAATTATGCTTGTTAGAATTTGAAACTTATAATTAATTTTGTTATAAAATAATGATATAATAACGATAAGATATTAAAATTGGCAAATATCTACATTCAACTATATCTCTATTATGAATATATGAATAATTTATTTGAATCGCTTTTATTTTAATTGATATTGAAGGTAACTGAGATAAGTCAAAAAAAAAAAAAAAAAAAAAAAATTTTCTTTAACGTACAAATATTAGAAATTATTTATGAATAATAATTATAATATGGTATTATTTTTTTCTACTAATAATATCTACCTCATTGCAATCAAGTTGACAAATTGTACGAATTGAGATCACAGTTTTCATTATTTATAGACACATTTTCGCGGGTAAATTATATCTTAACGCTTTATTTATGCTCTAGAGTTACATCATTCTAAAAAAAAAATTATGATTACGATTATAATAAACGCTTAAAAGACAAGCGTGTAATGCGCGTACGACGATTGCAATGATACTGAAGGCTTACCTTCTACTACTAGACGTACCTACCTTGTGTAACTGAACGTATCGTCGTTAATAATATCTATAACCGGAGAGATAACTCTCGTTCGATTTTTAGATATGGCTTCTAAAAGAGGCTCCAGCCATCCTGAAAGATCGACAAATCACTTCAAATAAATGCTTTGATTAAAATAACTTTTGGGAGTTTAGTGCATTCGCTTGGATCTTAGCGTAAAATGTTCTGTGCATACAAACTTTGCTCACATACACGCTCGAACGATGAAATACAATTTTAACGTCGCTTTTTCAAAGAAAATTACTTATTTTCATCGGGAATTCTAATTATCTGAGTAATCGCGCCATGGAGTCATTAACAGCAATCTACCAGCCACACATGCGCGCACACACACGCGCGCGCGCGCGCACACATGTATACACACAGAGAGAGAGAGAGAGAGAGAGAGAGAGAGAGAGAGAGAGAGACATACAGTAAAGTAAGTAAGAGCTTACCTACCGGCCGTACATTCGCAGTGAGCATCCAAAAAGGTCAAGACGTCCCCTACAGCCTCCTTAGCCCCCATGAGCCTCGCGTTCACTAGACCAACGCGGTTCTCCGATCTGAGAACTCGCGTTGGCACATTCAATTGCGTTACGTATTCATCTAATGGCTCTCTTAAAAAATCTAAACAAACAGAGAATTGATAATTATGTCGTTGCATGATCTTTCGAACCCTTGTGCATTTACAATTTCATTTGTCACTCTTTTTACCCAACGAAAGCTAAAGACCGTCGTACTATTATATCACGTATTACGTCCCACAGACTTACCTTCCCGTCAACGAGCTTCATTATTAGGAAAAAACGAGCGGCTTACCTCTATCGCTATTATCATCGACAAGGATTATCTCTCGTAGTAAATACTTAGGGGATCGATTAATGACACTATGCACGGTTCGTAAGAGCGTACTCCAGGCTTCGTTATGGAAGACAATTATAACAGAAGTAGTGGGCAAATTTCCTAAATTTGCGTATCTGTAAATGCATCTGAAATAACGGAAACGTGGCCTCTTAAACCGTATTTTCAAGTATCGAGTAAAGTTAATGCGTTTGTGATTCATACTTCTTCTTTCGCACATCCGGCAATGATCTATTCAAAGGAATTCTGTCGCTTGCCAGCAAATTGTATCTATTGATTTGAAAGAGCTGTTGCATCAGCTGAAAGTCTTTCGCCGGTATCTGAACGGGATCGCCGTTCTTTCCTTCGTAAGATCGGGGATCGAACATGTTCTTATTGATTATTTCTAAAAGAAAAACACAATAGTCATTGATCTTACAAAATGTAGTTGCTAATTAATTTCGTTATTCGAGAACCTTTTGTTATGTTAGGAATTTGCAGGGAGTCCATTGAATTGCCAACGTAATGGCCAACGACGACATGCACTCCACGTTTGTCGATGTACTCTTTTTGACCTTCCGATAATCTAAATATTCATTATATCACATTATCGTCTTCAAAAAAAATGAACGATACTGTTATTAGTATCGATGGGAAGCTTAATTTTATTGTAATTGTATGTCGATAATACTTTCATGCTAATACTTCATTCGCAACTTCCGATACAGTCGGAATACGAACGCCAATTATAATTTAACAGCAATTAATCTTAAAGCGATACCTACTTTATGCGAGGCTAAGGTGAATTTTGTAAAAATGTATATAAAAAAGAATTTAAACGGAATCGCGTGCTTATATTTCAAATCATCGCGTGGTTTTAATTCGCATTGCCTTAAAACTTTGTCCCTTAATGTTCTTCGCTTTTACTCGTTGATACATAAACTATCGATTAATGTGGAGCGAAGATCTATGTTATTGAATTTTTTAAATCTCCATATCCATTATTGTAAATCAATTCGCGTCGCGAAAAGCCAGAGCAAGGAATCAATGACATGGATTTGACCGGCGACTAATCCAAGTCCTCAAAAACATTTATAGGATCTTAAACTTAATCTTGGCATGTAAAGAGCGAGGAGATACCGTTTAAAAACAAAAAAAAACAAAAAAAACAAATCCAAATATTCCGTGCTTACTGCAAGTGTACGAGATCATGACGAACTCCGTTACCCTGGGGGCTCCTCGTGTAGAAGACGAGGATGCCGGTAATGAGGATAACGAGTAGCAGCATCTGCCATACTCGGCATATCCTCGTTGGCCTCGGCCACATCGTGGGGGCTCGCTCTCAGAACTCGACGTACCATTGACGCATCGTCCTCTTGGCCGATGACACGTCACGTTCCTCGTCGACACTTGGCATTGGTCTCTATCGCTGCTACGAGGACTCAGGACACGCCATTGACGCACCAGTGCAGCACATCGCTACTGCGCCAGAAGTCTTACGCAATGAGTTGCCGAATTCTCATATCCCTTTGACAAGATGAGTAACAGTTAGCTTCAGAGATAAGGAGAAAACCTCGCAACGGACATTGTAGCGATAGATAATGACAGTGAGAGTATTACGTTGGTCGCTTCGCGAATCTATTCTTTAACCGAAGTCTCGCGGTAATTCAGGATTCACATATTTGAGAATTGTATGAATATTTCATTTAATTACGGATAGTACGTTATCACTCTTGTAAATTTGTATTCCTTCGCTTTCATTGCGACTAGATAAGCTTCGGGTAGTTCATTATGCTAAGTAGAAAGGAAAAAAGCGTACCGAGAAATATGATTATGAAAAGATTATTGATATACTCCTATTGGCGGTAGCTTTTAACTACTAACTTTTAACTAAATTTTAACAACTCCGAATATTAAGCCTATGAAGAAACAAAATTTATATATTATATTATTGAAGTTTCCATTATTCCAATAATGGAGAGAATTAAAAAGATAAAAGTTCATAATTTTAATTTATTTATTCATTTATAGTTACGCAATAATCAATGCACATGATATTTATACGTAATAAGCAATTTAATTGTATCGATGATAATTATTTGCCTTATTATCAAAGTAGATACACTTATTTCTTAGCAAGACATAAGTAAATTTACATGATAATTATAAACATTAAATCAGGTTAGCCTGTTCTAATAGTAGAATATTACCGTAACTCTTTAAATTAATCGAGTTTAAATTAATTGTAATACTTAAGATTTTTTAATTTTTACTTCATTCAATATATATATATATATATATGAACTATAATTGAGTTATAAATATAGTCTCCTTTCTTTCTCCCGTCACCTCTCCTCTTATAATTTACAAGTTCCTGCCACTATTAATCGATCAAATTAATGAATACTTCAGAAAACATCTTTCTTTCTTTTTTTTATTTATATTTTTTTTAATTTTAAGCTCTTATATTTCGAAGCTTAAAATACTGTACAGTGTAAATATAAGATCTAAATGGATAATTTTATATAAAAAAGAGTACAGGTAAACAAACTAGTAATTAGTAAGAGGATTGAATAATAAGAAATAATAATTTTAATTAATTAAAGAGAATTAAACAAGATCGTTTTATTGTAGAAATGATTGAGCCTCGATCTTGTTAAAAATTAAATAGCAAGATTCGTTTGAATAAAAATATGCTTTTTTTATGAAATTAGTGATATGAAAAATCGAAAACCATTATTAACGTAATGGGCGCGTGTGCGTGTGTATTTTCTCAGAATTATTCATTTAACACAAGAGCCATAACTTTCGAAGCTTGATTATCGGTAGTCCTGAGTTTCGTCCAAACGCAACGATTCCTCATTGCCCGTAGCGAATAGCGAAAACGTAGCGAATCGTATGTAATAAGAAGTACATTCACAATCAACAGGCTGTAACAGTGGCAGCTTATTTAGCAAGTCAACGAGCCTGCGCATTCGCACTCGGGCCTTGGAAAACTACCCCCGGCGTCGTGCACCTAACGGATTTTCCGGGCTGCGCTCGCAATGAGGCGCAAGTCGTCGCGCCATTAACCGCATTCCAGGGAAATACCTACGAGGCGGAGTCGCGTGTCGGCCTCCAATCCTTCCCTACAACCGGATGCAAATTAGTCGAGGCTCAGGGTGCCAGCGATTCGCCTCTTCCGGCGCATCCGCGCATCCTGCACCGGGACAATACAATTGGCCTAGGCCAATCCTCGCGCACGCATCGCCGCCTCCTCGCCTGCAATCACAACAAAGAACATCCTCCGGATGAGCTGCCGATGCATCGTAGTCCTGGCCAGCGTAGCAATTTAAAGTGATAGCGGTGATCGCTTTTTCACCAGAGGGATTAAATCTCCAGATAGTTTAATATTGAATATTTTAACATATAGTATTTATATCATATTATACGTGTAAATATAATATTTCCTTATTTGACATTTAACAATATAATATAAGGTAGTGCGAAGATTTGCATGATATTGTTATACTTTGTTCTTACGTTGTTGCATGTGTCCTTGTAAAAGCAGAGATTTCTTAGTGTTTCGTTATGGGACAGATCGTATTGTCGCGTGAGACGAAGGTTCTTTTTCAATATTGTTTTTCATTAAAAGTAAGAAGAAGACTGTGAATTTTTTATAGGATCAATGTAATAAAACATTATAACTAAAGATCATTTTGTTGCGAAATTATTTGGAATATAATTATTTATTTGAGTTAAAGAAAGGGACAGATTGCAGGTATTAACTCACTTTCGAATGAAAATGACAGTACTTATGGCGTAGAATAATATAAGGCTTATGCGTATACTTTAAAGTACATTATTTAATTTGTGTAAACAAATAATAAAAGAATAATTCCTTTATAACTGTAATTGTGTGTAAATAACGTGTGTAAATTATATGGTGTGTTAATTTATAGACACTTTATAAATATTTTTCATGCAATAAAATTTACCGTTTTAAAACTAATAAACTATTGTTCTCAGATATAAAATATTTCCATGTCCTTTTGTTTTGATTCACACTTGCATAACACTATGTCATGTTTTTAAAACTCTTGAGGTGGAACTTTTAAAAAATTCGCTTTAATATTCGTATTTCATTGTATTTAACAAAAAAAAAAAAAATAAATAAATAAATAAATGTTAAATTAAAATTAAAAGTTTAATGAAGAAACATAAAGATATTAAAATTTCGTTTAAGAATACATTTGTTATGTGTGGGAGGGGGGGGGGACGTGGATTGTAAAATGTTAAAATGTTAAAATGTTAATGATAGAATTGATAATATTGCACTTATTTTTAATTTCAACAACATCGCTGATAATCCTCGTTATCTTTCATCCGTAATACTTGTGATTTTAGGATGTGATTAGTAAACTAATTACGTACATACATAATAATAAATGTTTGTAATTTTTTTATTTTTTTTTTTTTTTTTTTTTTTTTTTTTTTTTTTTTTTTTACCAATTACGTTTGCTTATAATGCAATGAAACTTTTAAAATATAAATTTTTTTTTTTTTTTTAATTAAGCCTAAAATTAATGAGAATGCAGAATCTGCAAAACGGCAAGAGACAATCGTATTACTTTGCTTCGAAAGGCAAGTGTACATGAGGTACAAAGATTGTAAAAGTGGGCCATGGCCAATACACACAAATTGTATTTACATATATTATAAAAAAAGAAAAGAAAAAAAGAAAAATAAGAATTGGTAGAAAATTACATTTCACGTTATAATTAAAAATTATATTTCACGTTATTCCAATGCATATGACCAGTAACTTGATATATTTATGTAATATTTTAATGAATACCTTTATTATTATAATTATTTTGGCCACTTAATTATGAAATATTATTTACATACTCCAGAAGATCGTTATAGGCTTTAAAGTGTATGAAAATTTATACAACATCTAGCAACAGAAATTTATTACGCTTCTCATGTAAAGTAATTCGTTACAAAAACTATTTTTTAAAATGGACTTTCTTACTGTCGTAAAATAGAATAATGTTTAACACGTTATGCTCACGTCACGAAGAAAATAAAGAGAGAGAGAAAAGCTGAAAATGATAAATTTATATAAATACGTGGTATAAGAGATTTAAACAAAGCCACCGATTACACATTAGCATATGTAAATCAATTATTGAAAAGACGTAGATTCATAACTATAAAAGGCAGCCAAAAACAGTATTCTCTATTCTAATCAAATATCGGAACTGCTAAGAATTTAAAAAAAAAAAAAAAAGAAGCAAATAAATATGAAAACACTTTTGTGGTTAACACAAAAACAGTGTATACGGAGAAGCACAATGTAGTAGAAAAAAAAAAAAAAAAAAAAAACAGCCTCCTCTTCGTAATGAATGGCGAAGATTATATTCAATACATTGTAATGTACGTCATTATATCTTCACTTTTCTTAGAACTATACATTCAAGGAGCATTTTCCACGAAACTATTTCAATAATTAAAATAAAAACTGTTTCAATTTTTATCCACGATTCTTTAAGATATAACCTCTTAAACATATTTAATCAATATATATGTATATATATATATATATTAAGCATCAAGTTTCATATAAATTGTTAATATTATTATTTATTTTTAACTCCATGCTAATATTGGTATAATATTTTTGAGAATGTCTTTTAAACACTTTACTCTTGAATATATAAATATTTATGAATTGGAGTTTCAGATGTCCAACGCGTGTCACATTACGACGAAGCAGTTAATTTGCATTAAAACTTTGACAAATCAATGCATGATAAGTAATGTTGTTAAGCAAAATAATAAATATAGCCATGATATTAATGATAATGAATAGTAAGGACGATTATTGTAGATAATTAAACCTTTTAGATAGCATGAGCAATAATTCGAAGAAAAAAAAAAACTATATTATTAAGATTTCGATTATATAAATTATAAAATTATAGAAATCCGATGTGTAATAGTGTAATTTTATTTTGACCAATTGTCCTATCCATACAAAATATATCTTACTTTTTTTACCTTTTCAATAATGAAATATTTTATGTATATAATTATGACGATATTATTAATAAATTGTGCATAATCGCCATAATAATAATTTAAGATTGAAGATTGAATTATATTATCGATTTGAATTATTTAACGATATGGACAGCTTATGGGCTTTATGTTTGAAATCAATTTAGAAACAAACGCTGATACAATTAATGAAATTATTTTTTATCTAATAACAAATCCTTATATTTAGATACATATCTCGTTGCCGATGATATTTATAAGAATATATAAATTCTAAAATATATGTCGCCAAGTTCTAATTATATCGCACTTGTAAAATCACTGCTCGTTTTACATCAGAAATTCACTGTCTGCATTTTATATTCTTCTAGAATAATTACGTAGAATAATTATTCTTTAAATAATCTTTGTCAAGTGTAACGAGAAATGTTTGGTGCTT